TTTTGGAATAGTGATTGATAGGAGAATGTATGTTGGAAAAGTGGTGAAAAGTTTTAGATTTGTTGTAATATTATTTTATTTGAAAAATGTGTGGTTGAAATGAAGAAAGAGAAAAAAAAATGAGAATTAGATTAAAATGGGTGTCAAACAGGTTCATTGCATACTGGACATGCACTTCATTATATCCATACCTTGCGATTAACATGTTGAAACCCTGAAAGACCAATATTAAGTCTTCCTCGTGCTTCCTGTTGCTTGTGAAATGGCAATACTATCAACGAAACCATAAGATCCTCAGACAAAATGCAGATATCGTGATGCATGCTATTCATAGTGGAAAGAGCAAGCATTCGCCTAACATTAATTCCATCTCCACCCTTATTCAGGTAATCATTAACTGCATTTGTTATTTGCTCTCTCATTCCAACAACGGTCGGATCAGTCACGGTCAAGCCATCTGCACCCTCATTGTGTGTTAATGTAGCTGATATCCTATCTGTTAATTCTATTACATTAGTCAGAAAAACCATGATACCTGGGTCTGCTAGCCCTCGAGAAATCTCCATGAAATTTTTAGCTGATAAAACAATTTGTGACCCATGTATGCAGAGTAGAATCTGGAGCTCATCTATTGGATTGTGCCATTAAAGTGCCATTCTTTGTGTAGGTGAGTGCTTTCTGGCACGGTCAATGATGTTTGTGACAACAAATAGCAAGTAGACAATGGTAACCAAGGTTACAAATACCATGTAAATGCTCGTGGAGATACTTGTAAGCTTCATCTGCATTCCATAAAGAAAATTATAGACAACTAGTTTGACAGCTTGCGTGTGGATTGAACAATACTAAATAGTATTAAAGAAGACATTATAATGCCAAGTCTTGTTTGATATTGCATACCAAACACAAGCAGAGAGGCTTACATTCGAGGCAATCATAGCTAGGTATACCTGGAAATGACCTTTAATGTTCAGCAGAATCCAATTTCGATTGATTCTTGCCAATGAAAACCTAACATCACCCCAAAACCACAGATCCAAGAACCTGTCCAATATTGGCAATCAAGTAAAGG